AAACCCTTGAACGCTTCATCCTTCATTGCCCACTTCCCTTCTTCCATTCATCCGTCTATCACTACATCCCTCTTTCCTGACATCCCTTTAAACATCCCTTCAACCCTTCCCCCCTCCCTGTATCCATATTTCCCTAAATCCCTTCATCCATTTAAACCTTTCATCCCTAATTCCTTTTGCCCCTTCATCCTTTTAAACCTCACTATACCTACATCCCTTCAACCACCCCTCAATTCTTTGAAAACTTCTCCCTTCATCCCTTCATCCTCTCTCCCCGTCTCCCGTCATCTCTTTCTATTTAAGTTTGATCTGATTCAACTGTTTACTGTCAAAAAGTTTGTCTTCTTATCCATAAAACTTACAATGTTTTCATCCGTCTGAGGTTCTGAAGAGGCAAAAGAGCATCAATGTAATCTTCCAGCTGACAGGCGCAAAGATTATTATGAGTGCTGGAACAGCCACGATCACAATGATGATCTTCCACCACCAACCTGGAAGAGGAATTCAAATCATAACATTTAGAGCTTAATAAAAACGTACTTTTTGTTGATGATTCAGTTTTTCAGGTGTTTGTGTAACAGATTAACAAAAGTCAACAAATCTTTAGTAGCTAAACATGTTCTCCCCAGAGGACTGAAGGCTGAACGTTATCTAAATGTAATCACGTTGAACGCAAATCAGTGCAAAGATGTGATGTTATTTCTCGTGGAAATATATTTCATCAGCTTATTTGGTTTAAGAGAAAGATTTTTATATCAATCAATATTCATATATAAATATATAAATCAATAATAATTTACTTTATTTTAAGACTAGTGTCGTTATAAAAGCGAGTTAATTAAACTAATTTCCATAAAAAATAAAGAATAACCTATTGCATCTTCAGTGATCACAGAAGCTGTCGTATTGAAACCTGATCTGGAGTCGCTCTCTGTTGTTGCTGCTGCTGTGTCCTCACCTGAACAGATGAACAAAGATCATAATTATTGTTATGTTTTAGTGTAATCAGAGTATATGTTTTACCAGACAGTTTGGAAACATTATGATGTGAATACTCACTGGTAACAACAGACAGATAAACCCAAGAGTCTGGAGCTCGTTGTTCTCCTGATCTGATCTGTCTGCAGGTGTATTGACCAGCATCCTCCTCTGTGACCTTCCTTATAACCAGAGAACAATTCTCTGTAACTCTCTGTCTGTCTGATTTAGCATGGTTACCAATCTGCCCACCACTAACCAGCGCTACTTCTACTTTGCTTCCTGAATCACTGGAGAGCCAGGTAGTACCATCACATTTATCCTGATCATGGAACACATTGTTACACGGCAAAGTGGCTTCATCTCCAGCTCTGACAGAGAGGGAGCGGGATTGCTGTCCAATTGCAGTCCCTGAATAAACAAGAGATAAGTAGAAAGAATATTGAGAAATAAAAATGTTCATTTAAAGTGGACCTATCATGCTATATTTGAAACATATATTGTAGGACCATACCTATACAAAACATGTCTGCAAAGTTGTTTTTTCAAAATACCAAACAGTTCACCCATTGTAGCCATGCCTCATACTGCTCAAACCCCTCTTTTGAAGCCCTGTTAGAGAAACGCGGATCTTGGGTCCTTAGCTTGAAAAATAAAAAGAAAGAGGAGGCGGAGCTAATGCCTGATCAGAATTCTACCGGAGATAAAGTTAAATTCTGCTGTGATAAAACGCCATCCTGTTTAAACCACGTCAATGATTATTTCTGAAACAGTATGGAGCTCAAATGCTTTTTCTCTTGCAGGTTTATCACAAGGTGAGTTCTTTTTTTATTTCCTGCTTTTTAAACACATGTGCTCTCCAGTACAGGTTAGCTCTGAGTGTTAGCGAGGCTAGCTAATGTAGACAAAGACGAGATTAAGTCCAAAACACGCAGGCATTGTTTCTGATAGCAACTTTCTGTGGGTCCGCCGCCGCTATGACGTCATAGCAGATGGACTAATCACAGCGGATGGAATCTGTATCCGCTCGTTGTACCCTCGTTTTTTAAAAGATTTGGGTATGGCGGAAAAGAGAGAGGGTTTTATTTTCTGACGCTGCGTGAGTTCCCCGATGCACCGGGGACACATGTTTATGTATAAAAGACATCACAAAGTGCATTTTGCATGATAGGTCCCCTTTAAGATACAACAAAAGTTTCCCGATGTGTCTAAAAGTTGCCTTCCCCTCGTTGGAAGACAAACAGACCATTTCTCTGTCTTGGTTAAAAGGAGGTTAGGTAATAAAGTAACATTCATGATGAATACATTACCGTTGTGTTTCTAAATGTCATATACTGTACATGTTGTAGGAATGCTTACCTGTAAACTGAAGCAGCAGAATGAGAAATAAAGACATTTTAATCCGTTTGAACTCGTCCATCTTGATTCTCCGTCTCTCGGCTTCCTCTATCTCTTGTTCTGATGAAATGTTCCTGAAACAATGCTTTAGCTGAGAGATGCTGCAACTGCTTCCTGTGTTAAGTATGATGCCTCCTCCTCAAAGTGAATCTATGTAACCGGTGTCGATTAGCGGTGTCTGCGTTGTGTTGATGTTGTTGATGGATGAGACCCGAGCCAGCATACAGTCGAGGCGATCTCCGTTTAGTCACTGACTATATACAACACATCAGTATTCAATTAGTCATCCCTCACAATGACTTCTCTCACGTGAAACACATTCACAAAAAGGGAAGAGGAAACGTAGAACGTACCTGACAATATAAAACAAAATCAGTAGTTATTCAATTGTTTTCTTCCCTCTCACCAACTCTTCTCATGTGGAACATTCACAAAAAAAGGAAGAGGAAAATGTGAGGGACACGATGTGAAAAATAATTTTCTGTGTAAAGTCACTGCATTTTGGAGGTCCCGCCCACCAACGTTTAATAAATAAAGAACACAGAATTATTAAATACAAAACAGATAATTTGTGGGATTCTAGTAAATGATTTATAAATAAATATTTAACACTAAACACCACTGCATATTTACAACTGTTACATTTAAACTATTTGGGATGTTTTGTCTTCATTTCTTGTCAATCTCAAAACAGCCTAATGTCTTTTTAAAGCTTGTTTTCTATAATTCTCAACGTCTAGATTCTACGGACTCTCCCTTGGGGACATGGAGAAGAAAACAAAAGTTATTTGAAAAAAATAAAGAATAAAATGTTTTGCGAAATCTCGCAAAACCCCTTTGCGAGATCTCGCAAAACTTTTCATTTAGCTCAATGTACTTCCTGGTCAGTTCGGCAACACAGAAACCACAACAGTGGAGCGATTCATCGATTTTACTTTGAGCTTGGCCTTAAATATAAAGATATAACATCAGTGCTTGGCAATAGGCACGGGTTTCACATAAGTGAAGACACCTCAAGAGAACACTCAGAGCGAGGGGACATGCACGTCCCTCTGAGCTGAGTTATTGACAGATTCGAATTTCGTGGATCCATAACTCATGAACATAACGTTGTAAAAATACAAACAACATGACTTTACAATCATAGCAAGGTAGAGAACGAGCTACAGAGTCGTTTTTGTCAGAACAGTTCGATACGCGCCGTCATCCGAGCTAAACATCAAGAAGTGGTCACAATCTGCAGCTGGAGGAGGGAGAGGAGTGCTTAGGGACCGTCTACAAACTGCAACGGGGTTTTGCGAGATCTCGCAAAGGTTTGATTGACTGCTCTCACGTGAAACACATTCACAAAAAGGGAAGAGGAAACGTAGAACGTACGACAATATAAAACAAAATCAGTCGTTATTAAATTGTTTTCTTCCCTTTCACCAACTCTTCTCACGTGGAACCACCAACGTTTAATAAATAAAGAACACAGAATTATTAAATACAAAACACAGAATTTGTGTGATTATACTAAATGATTTATAAATACATATTTAACACTAAACACCACTGCATATTTACAACTGTTACATTTAAACTATTTGGGATGTTTGTTTGTCTTCATTTCTTGTCGATCTCCAAACAGCCTAACATCGTTTTAAAGCTTTTTTTCCTATAATTCAAATGTTTCTCAACGTCTAGATTCAATATAATCCCGAAACAATCAAACTATTTTAAGGCTCAATTTGAGTCTTAAATGTACACTGTTTCCAGTCCCACAATGCACTGCTGGTCAAAACAACAACAAAAGAACTAAAGGACTGAGGAAGGTGCAGGTGAAGATTGTTAGCTAAGATTAGCGTTTGCAGTAACGCATCTTGATTTACAATTTAGACGTGATTCATGGGGGTGTTTTACAGCACACATGAACAGCCAGGAGAAGAGATAACCCTTAGATGCATAAGTGGGTCTTTTTTGACCCGGTGAGGTGGTTTTCTTATATCTTTGTAATTAATTTTTTTTATCATTTCATATTCCAGCTATTCCTCAAAAAACACGTTTTGGATATCAAGCCATTCAATTTTTTAATTTACATTCTATACTTTTTAAAAAATTGTAGTTTTTGTATTATTACCCCAAGCTTCCATAAGTGGGTCAAAAATAACCCGCATGCATTTTCTATGGAATTTCGTTTTTTTTTTTAAATGTAAAAATAATGACTACAATTTTAAATAGTGAAAAATTAAATATAAAATATTTCTAGTGTGAACCAAAATATAATACTAAATATTATACAAGTGATTTCTCTTCACCAAAATGACAAAAGTGGCATAAAAACACATTATTCTAATGCGGGTCCTTTTTGACCCACTTATGGAAGAGCGTAGGGTCCAGTCACTCTAAGGGCATCTAAGGGTAACCTGAGTTATGTTTCTGTGCATTCTCGTGTCACTTTTGGTGCATTTCTTTGCTTTGCTTTTATACCCAACAGAGGGAAGGCTCACTAGAAGTGGAGAAGAGGAGGGAGGTTGTTTTATAAGTAATATGATATTCATAGTAATAATTTTGTTTTAAAACTTAGTTAGTACATGAAGGAATCACAGAACACAGTGTAGGTCTAAGATAAACATGTCTTTATTTGCACATATACAGTATAGAAATTTGGACTCAATGAATGCTGAAAACATATGTTATGTTAACAGCAACGCTAAATGAAAGTGGATTAAAATAAGTTATTCTGCGCACAGAATGATTAACCTGAGCTAAATCTGCAGTAGCTTCAACAACAAGCAATACATCTTAAAATCAGCTCTGAAACCTTCAGCTGGAAGACAATATGAGAAAGTAAACAAGCGTTAAAAACTAATTATTGTTAAACTGTTCAAATCCAGCTGCGTAATGTCATAAATTATACAATAGATAATTCAGAATGATTGTTTAATCTTCCACTCCTGATGTGAAACATGAAGATGGATTGTTGTTGATCAGTGGAGTCTGATGGAGGCAGAAGTGTTGCTCAAACTCCATCAAGAGGTCTGATGTTGGCATAGTTCACTGTACCATCATCTACATCACAACGCACCTGAGGAAAACAACAACAACACTGAGTTGGTTACAAAGGAAGTAAACACAGTTCACAGTTTAGTCAGCAGACCCTGAACGCACCATTAGTTCATCCCTTCCTCCCAAAAACCCTTGAACGCTTCACCCTTTATTGCCCACTTCCCTTTTTCCATTCATCCGTCCTGACATCCCTTTAAACATTCCTTCAACCCTTCATTCCTTTAAACATCTCTTAGATTCTTCATCCATCCTTCCCTTCATACATTCATCCCTACTCTCTGTAATCCATTGATCCCTTCAACCCTTCCTCCCTCCCTCTATCCATGTTTCCCTAAATCCACTCATCCCTTTAAACCTTTCATCCCTATTTCCCTTTGTCCCTTCATCATTTTAGACCTCACTATACCTACATCCCTTCAACCACCCCTCAATTCTTTGAAAACGTCTCCCTTCATCCCTTCATCCCTTCATCCTCGCTCCCCGTCATCTCTTTCTATTTAAGTTTGATCTGATTCAACTGTTTACTATCAACACGTTTGTCTTCTTATCCATAAAACTTACAATGTTTTCATTCGTCTGAGGTTTCTGTCCTGAAGAGGTCAAAGAGCATCAATGTAATCTTCCCTAGTGGAAACCCTTTTTTATCAGCCACAGCGATTGTTGTGAGTGCTGCAACAGCCACTATCACAACGATGATGATCCACCACCACCAACCTGGAAGAGGAATTCAAATCATAACATATAGAATTTAATAAAAAAAGTACTTTTTGTTGATGATTCAGTTTTTCAGGTGTTTGTGTAACGGATTAACAAAACTCAACAAATCTTTAGTAGCTAAAGCGAATTTGGTTCCGAATTGATTTTAAAATCCTTTTATTTATTTTCAAAGCCCTAAATGGGCTGGCTCCGGCCTATATAGCTGAACTCCTCCATCGCTACACCCCAGCCAGAGCTTTAAGGTCGGCTGACCAGCTGCTGCTGATAGTGCCTAAGACCAGGCTCAAAACCCGAGGGCACGAGCCTTCGCAGCAGCTGGCCCCAGGCTCTGGAACACTGCCCTTCCATGTGAGGTCGGCCCAGACCCTAGGGGTTTTAAATCTACTCTAAAGACTCACTTCTTCTCCCTGGCCTTCTAGTCAGAGCGCAGCACGACACCTGACTTTTCCCTGTGTTTTTTTATCTGTTGTAATTTATTGTCTTTTATTGTGATTCTAGTAATGTGTTTTTATTACATGTACAGCACTTTGGCTCGACCAAAAATCGCTTTTAAATGTGTTTTATAAATAAAACTTGATTTGATTTGATAAACATGTTCTCCCCAGAGGACTGAAGGCTGAACGTTATCTAAATGTAATCACGTTGAACGCAAATCAGTGCAAAGATGTGATGTTTTTTCTCGTGAAAATGTATTTCCTCATTTAAAAAAAGCAGCTTAAGACAAACCAATTAAGAGTCTTTGATTAAGAGAACGATTTTTAATCAATCAATATTCATATATAAATATATAAATCAATAATCATTTACTTTAATGTCAGACCAGTGTTATTATAAAAGTGAGTTAATTAAACTAATTTCCATTAAGAAAACAAAGAATAACCTGTAGCATCTTCAGTGATCACAGAAGCTGTCGTAGGGAAACCTGATCTGGAGTCGCTCTCTGTTGTTGTTGTTGTTGTTGTTGTTGCTGCTGCTGCTGTGTCCTCACCTGAACAGATGAACAAAGATCAACAAATGTTTAACTTGCAAACTGTCTTATGGGTAATTTATATTGTGATGTAATAATAAAACTTAAAATCGTTAAATAAGTAAAAATATATGAGTTAATTAAGTCACTTTGAATGGCTCAACATGTTCTCATCTGAGGACTGAGGCCTGACGGGAAACACCTGCACTTCTCCTGTTCTGGATTCAGTTACTTCGCAAGTGAAAAACTTAAACCTTGATGTGCAACTAAAGAGAGAACTCAGAAAAGTCACAGAGGCAGAGCAGGTAGACTGTGATGTCTTTGTATATCTGTGATCTTTATCCACATCTTGACCCTGAAACAGCCACTTCACTTCATATGACACCACAGAGCAGTGTAACGTCACCTCATCATTGTCCTGATGCTCAGTCACTGAATATGGAGATATTGTGAGAGAAAGACAATAATAGTACAAAAAACATCATCACTTTAATCATAATTATTGTAAGGTTTCATTGTAATCAGTGTATCAATCAATCAATCAATGTTTATTTATATAGCCCAATATCACATTTGTCTCAGTGGTCTTCACAGTGTGTACAGAATATCAGTATGACAATACGACACCCTCTGTCCTTAGACCCTCACATCGTACAAGGGAAAAAAAATGTATACGTCTAACCATAGAGTTTGGAAAACATTATGATTTAAATACTCACTGGTAACAAGAGACAGATAAACCACAGAGCCTACATCTTGTTGTCCTGATCTGATCTGTGTGCAGATATAACCTCCAGCATCCTCCTCTGTGACCTTCTTTATAACCAGAGAACATTTCTCTGTAACTCTCAGTCTGTCTGATTTAGCTTGGTTACCAATCTGCCCACGTCCAACCAGAATTACTGCTGCTGTGCTTCTTGAATCAGTGAAGATCCAGGTAGTACCATCACATTCACCCTGATCACGGGTCACATAGTTACACGGCAAAGTGGCTTCATCTCCAGCTCTGACAGAGAGGAAGAGGAGACGCTGTCCAAGGTCAGAGAGGAATAGAGGAGTACAGAGGAATACAAATGTTCATTTACGACACAACAAAAGTTTCCCAATGTGTTCTAAAGTTGCCTTCCCCTCGTTGGAAGACAAACACACCACTTCTCTGTCTTTGTTAAAATGAGGTTAGGTAATAAAGTAACATTCATGATGAATACATTACCGTTGTGTTTCTAAATGTCATATACAGTACATGTTGTAGGAATGCTTACCTGTAAACTGAAGCAGCAGAATGAGAAATAAAGACATTTTAATCCGTTTGAACTCATCCATCGTGATTCTCCGTCTCTCGGCTTCCTCTATCTCTTGTTCTGATGAAATGTTCCTGAAACAATGCTTTAGCTGAGAGATGCTGCAACTGCTTCCTGTGTTAAGTATGATGCCTCCTCCTCAAAGTGAATGTATGTAACCAGTGTCGATTAGCGGTGTCTGCGTTGTGTTGATGTTGTTGATGGATGAGACCCGAGCCAGCATACAGTCGAGGCGATCTCCGTTTAGTCACTGACTATATACAACAATATACTAATAAAGGACTGGATTACCTAAAGCCAGTTGAGTAGCACTTGAAATGTTTGGCTCTATGAAACCTGATATACTTATATGATTCTGTTTTCTTCAAGGTTGTGTCTTCCTGGTCGAATGTACTTATTGTAAGTCGCTTTGGACAAAAGCGTCAGCTAAATGCAATGTAATAATGTAATGTAATAACAACACATCAGTATTCAATTAGTCATCCCTCACAATGACTTCTCTCACGTGAAACACATTTACAAAAAGGGAAGAGGAAACGTAGAACGTACCTGACAATATACAACAAAATCAGTCGTTATTAAATTGTTTTCTTCCCTCTCACCAACTCTTCTCACGTGGAACATTCACAAAAAAGGGAAGAGGAGAATGTGAGGGACACGATATGTAGAGGGGAAGTCCCCACAAAAATAATCTTCTGTGTACAGTGACTGAATTCTGGAGGTTCAGCCCACTGATACCAGTCAGGTATTCAACGTTCAATAAATAAAGAACGCAGCATTATTAAATACAAAACACAGAATTTGTGTGATTCTATTAAATGATTTATAAATAAATATTTAACACTAAACACCACTGCATATTTACAACTGTTACATTTAGACTATCTGGCATGTTTGTTTTCATTTCTTGTCAATCTCAAAACAGCCTAACATCTTTTTTTCATTACATTGCATTTAGCTGACGCTTTTATCCAAAGCGACTTACAATAAGTGCGTTCGACCAACAAAATACAACCTTGAAGAAAACAGAATCATATAAGTACATCAGGTTTCTTAGAGCCAAACATTTCAAGTGCTGCTCAACTGGCTTTAGATAAGCCAGTCCTTTATTAGTATATAAGTGCTTTGTTAGTAATTATATTGCTCGAAGTGGAGTCGAAAGAGATGAGTTTTCAGTCTGGAAGGTGTGTAAGCTATCTGCGGTCCTGATTTCAATGGGGAGCTCATTCCACCATTTTGGAGCCAGGATAGCAAACCCACGTGTTTTTGCTGATGGGAACTTGGGTCCCTCTCGCAGTGCGGGTGCAGCGAGCTGTTTGGCTGATGCAGAGTGGAGTGCACGTGCTGGGGTGTATGGTTTAACCATGTCCTGGATGTAGGAAGGGCCAGATCCATTCGCAGCATGGTATGCAAGTACCAGTGTCTTGAAGTGGATTCTAGCAGTTATCGGAAGCCAGTGAAGGGAGCGGAGGAGCGGAGTGGTGTGGGAGAATTTAGGAAGGTTGAAGACCAGACGAGCCGCTGCATTCTGTATGAGCTGCAGAGGTCGGATGGCACATGCAGGTAGACCAGCCAGGAGGGAGTTGCAGTAGTCTAGGCGTGAGATGACGAGAGCCTGGACCAGAACCTGCGTGGCTTTCTGGGTCAGCTGGGGACGTATCCTCCTGATGTTGTAAAGCGTGTATCTGCAGCAGCGGGTTGTAGCAGCGATGTTTGCAGTGAAGGACAGGTTGTTATCTAGGGTCACACCCAGATTCCTTGCAGTCTGAATCGGGGAAACAACAGAGGTGCCGATGTTGATTGTCAGGTCAAGAGTGGGACAATCTTTTCCCGGAAGGAAGAGCAGCTCAGTCTTGTCAAGGTTGAGCTTGAGGTGGTGAGCAGACATCCACTGAGAGATGTCAGCTAGACAAGCAGAGATGCGTGCGACGACCTGGGTCTCTGAGCGGGGAAAGGACAAAATTAATTGGGTGTCGTCAGCGTAGCAGTGGTATGAAAAACCATGCGGGCTAATGACTGATCCGAGCGAGTTTGTGAGAAGAGGAGGAGACCAAAAACAGAGCCCTGAGGGACCCCTGTAGTTAATTGACAAGGGTCGGACTCGGACCCTCTCCAAGTTACCCTGTAGGTACGGTCTTTGAGGTATGAGTTTCAGGGATGTGTGAGAGGAGATTATCTAATACCTCCAAGAAGTCCCCCAAGGCGCCTGGTGGACGGTAGAGAACAACAATGGTTAATTGTATAGGATGGGTTACTGTGACGGCATGGAATTCAAAGGTGGAAGGAGTGAAGTTAGGTAGCTTGAAGAGGGAAAAGCTCCATTTGGGAGAGAGTAGGAGACCAGTGCCACCTCCTCTGCCAGTGGGTCTGGGTGTATGGGAGAAGGAATATGCTGTGGAGAGAGCTGCTGGGGTGGATGTGTTGGATGATGTAATCCAGGTCTCAGTGAGAGCAAGTAAATCCAGAGACTGCAGGGAAGCGTAGCCAGAGATGAAGTCAGCCTTAGGAACAGCTGACTGGCAGTTCCACAGGCCGCCTGAAACTAGATGTTGGATCTCAGTGGAGCATGCGGGATAGACGAGAGCAGGCCGGTTATATCGATTACGAGATACACGGGGCCAGTGATAATTGCGAGAAGACACATGAACAGGAATGGAGAAAATACTAGTGATGGCAGTTTGACACTGAAGCTTCGAACGGAGCTTCAACCCTGGACTTCCTATTCCATAGAAGCAATGCTTCGAAGCTTGCTTCAAATCACGTGACATGTGACGTCCGAAGCAGCAACTGCTTCATTTCCTGAATGAATCACTTGACTGGTTCGCGGTCCATTCACGTGATTCAATGCACTGCCTCGTCTCGATTCTGACAGGTGACAGGTTGAAACAGTTTCAAATTTGAGCGCTTCAACACTTTATGACCGCTCTAAACAATGCGCAATGTGTGGGTTGTTGTCGTAGTTTGCGTTGTTGCTGTTGGTATTGCATTTGAATTGTAGTATCATTATAGAGCAAGCCAGGAAGAAAGATAGGTCGTTCTGGCTCGGGAAACACTTTGAAATGTGGAGAAGCTGTGAACAAAAAGACAATTATCAGTAATATAAAAACAGTTCAATATTTCAAGGAATAGATAGCCCATGGGTAGAGCCGGCGGCCCGAATACGGCGATGTCCTCCGCGCAGCTGGTTCAAAGCCCGGAATGGATGTATTTTAATCATTGCTTTTCAACTTTAATAACTGATAAAATGCCCTCTCCTCCCAAAAAAATGTCCAGCACTCTCTAGTCTCTTCTCAATAACCCAATACACACAATTATCAATCTTTAATTGCAAATAGAACATGATATTCAGTCTTAGTGTGTGTGTGCATCGAATATTTTTCAAGGCAAAGATACGTTAGACCCACTGCAGCCTTGCACTTCGCCAGGAGAGGTCGCTGTAACTGAAGCTTCGAGAAATGAACCTATTTCCGACACAATTGTCCAAGTGGTTCGACGCTTCATTCAAAGCTTCATTTTGCCATCACTAGAAAATACACATGATTATAGCATGAGGGGCTAGAAAACTAAAGAAAATAAAATAAAACACCAGCGGTACTTAGCTCAATCAGAGGAGGATTTGCCTCCTCGTGACTCCCGCAAGACTCCAATGTCTTTGTCAGTCTTAGAAGAGGCTTCTCAATACTCAAATTTCCCCTCCTCGACTCCCCTCCTCGGTTCCCCTCCTCGATACTTAAACCCGCCCACAGGAGATGCGAGCGGAGGACCGAGGAGGGGAACCGAGG